TAATTTTTGAAGTATGAATTATTAAACTTGAAATTTAACAAAGTAAATTCTTCGAGGATCCACCTTTACGCGGCCATCCTCTCTCCAATTTCTCTCATGAATACATAATAATTCCTCATATCAGAGAAAAATAATCCATTTTTCCAGGATAAATATTTTTGTCGGATCATTTTCACCACTTTCCCAATCGCCGTCGTTCAAGGTTATGGCAGCGGCTATTGGGATTCATAACATAAATCCCTCATTTCTTGCCAATAACAAATCCACTAAGATTTCTTCTTCAAACCCAGGTTCATCCCTGTCTAATTCCACCAAGAAAAACCCTCTAAAGTTTTTATCTTCATCAATTACTTCACGGAATTCAACCATTTTTTAGGAGGATTTGCAGAACAAAGATGCCTTTTTTTCCATAAAGAATTGATTCTTGGATGTAGGAGTCAATTCCGGATATTGTGAAGGTGAATGGGAAAGTGGGCAATCAAAATCCACATATGGGCTTATTTTTGTTGACGAATAAGGTTTATAAAGAAGCTGAAACTTTGGCAGGACAACTTGATTTAGGTGATTTATTTCCCTAGATGAAAGTGTTGAATTTGATTAGTTGGAATAATTTTAAAATATTATAAAAAAATTTCACAAAATTTCAAAAAGAACGCATTTTCAACAATTTTAAAATAGACGCTCAAAACACAAAACACAAAACGAATTTAAAACTCAAAACAGAAAACTGAAANAAACGCATTTTCTAATTTTATGTTTTCAGAAACAATTTTCCAGAATGACAAAAAAAACGCATTTTCAGCAATTTCAAAACAGACACTCAAAACACAAAACACAAAACGAATTCAAAACTCAAAACAGAAAACTGAAACACGAAGAGAACGACCCCTTAATTTCTCTACCCAAATCCAAACCTCACTCATGGTTGCCCAATAACATTAACCACAAAGGATGATATGGAAGATACAATAACATAAAGGGAGAGAAGAAGGAGGAAGACACCGAGAAAATCTTTCAATTCCACAAGACACGATTGCCTCTTTTCTCTCTATTGCACACACACACGTTCTCCCTAAACGAAAAGACTTATTTATAACTTTAGGGAAAGGAAACACAATGGGCCAACAATATTTTTATGGTCAAATCATAACAAATAGGCTAAACACAAATTGGCATGGGCCAACAAACTAATGGGGGAGTGAGCTAACTCATAAAGGGTCGTTTGGTTAAATGCCTAACCATACTGATTCTTAAATCAATTTTGGCTTCGACCCAAATCAAAGAACAATTTTTTACATTACTAAAATTCAATATAGAAGCACAACATTACCAAATTTCCATATAGAAGCACGTAGATTTTTATAAAACTTTAGGTCAAATCTAGCTAATTAAGCCAAAACCAAGTCAGCAATTATACATATACAATCTTAAAAAATAAATGGCTTCAATTTTGTTCTCTAATAATTTGTGTTTGTTTGGTTTGCTTTTAAGATTTTAATTTAGTTAGGTGATTAAATTTTAACAAAAAAATGTGTCGAATCGGTTTGACTGCAATCAACCTAGAACCCGAACTGACCGGCCAAGTTTATTCATATGTCTACTTGATCCAAACTGAAAAGGTATAAAAAACTAATCCAAATTGACCCAAGCTGGTTTAGGTTGGGTCAATTATTTACACAAGCAAGTAAAACTCCCACCCGTATTTAAGAACAAATGTACAAGTAACTTAAATACGAGTACACTTAGCTTTGGAGATGATGTGATCACTAAAATTTCAATATTTAGACTACAAATCTAGATATGAAGATCAATGTTCCTAATTCGTTTAATAATCTCTCCATATGATCTAACTATGTCTCTATAAAAGATATGAGCACACAAATATGTGTTCTATTACAAGAACTTCAAAAGTATCCTGCAAAGCATAGATGTATACATTTATTTCTTATCGTACTTTACAATTATTGTTACTACATGCCAAATTCATATTCATTTTTCTGAATGTCAATCGAAATCAAAAGATAAGTGTTCAATTACTTGAAAAACATTAAGTTCATAACAATTAAATACAACGAAATATCAAAATCTGAAATTAAATGTCAAAACTTCGAGCACATACACAATTAGTCGATCATCAAAGTAATTATGAGAACATAAAATAGTTGATACAACATCATTGGCTCCTTGATCAACCTCCTTCTATTCTTCTTCTTCATGTTCAACCTAAGAAATTATTGCATGAAAGTGTATATGAATGCCTTTTCTAACAAGCTTCTTCAAAGTTTCAAAAGAATATGTGAATTGTGGATCAAAACCTTTCTTCTTGGCTCTCTACCTTGAAAGATTTATGAATTTCTAACCCTAAGAGCCTCCATTGGCTTGAATAATTTGTATATGATGAATCCCCACAAGCCTCCTTGAATTGTTGGATGAATATATTTATTTATAGGCCCCAAGATTAGCTCAAAATCTGTGTCCTAAATCATTTCCAACAATTGGTTGATTCAAAATAGGAAACAAAATAATTTGTGTCCCGTATAACCATGTTATCGCGTGGTACAAACCTTTTCGATTGTATAGGTATAAACTAAAACATTAAGTCACAGATATTAACTTCTTTCTATTGTATGTTTATAAGTCTTGAGATCTCAAGACTTTTTTTTTCTATTCCAGATTCATGCAAGTTGGTTGTTTTTCAAAACATTCACATATTTCGTGTAGCCTTTGTCCTTTTTCAAGTTTCGTCAAACTTTGGTTGTTTTCATCCTAAACTTCAATTTTGATGTTGAAACTTCTAATATCTACAAGATTGGTCCTCAAAACTTTATAATCATTCAAAATTGGCTTGCCTCAAGTTATGAAAGTTTGTAATTTAGTCCCTAAACTTTCTACGATTTTGCTACAGGTACATCACGATGTACATCACGGTGTCCACTCCCTTCATATGGGGGGTGAGACCCACTTAAATAAAAAAATATTTTATACAAGAGGGTCCCACCCCCATGTGAGAGAGGTGGATACCTTGATGTACATCTTTTGATGTACAAGTAGATTTATCCAACTTTCTAACACTTGAATTTGACCCTGAAACTTATGAATCAACGATTGCTCCATTAATTCTTCTAATTGGTCAAATGCAATCTAGTTGATTATCAATTGATCCCGAACAACTCCAACTAAGCTCTGATTTTAACTTTTTTCACACCAATTGCAACTAAATGCATCCAAATTGGGATTTTACCAACATTTAATCATATTTACACGAATTAGGTAGATATCTACTCAATATATAAATAAATAAACAAGTATGAGAGCCCAAATAAGTGCATAATATGCACTTATCATGATGCAATAGGATCGGAGCATGATTTTAATGAATTTTAATATGTTTTATATATTTTTATTTTATGTACTTAATTTACTTAAGGTCAATTGTGCCTTTTTGCAGGAATGCCTTTAGTAGAACGTCCAACCAATGAACTGAATTCAAAATCCCGAGAACTCAACTACCTGTTTCACCTACGATCTACAGAACACTGGGCTTCAGCCGAAAGGATAGATTTTGTTCGTCGAAAGCGCATTGTCCAACGATTTGTTGATTAAGAATCAAGTCTTGACATTTTTCAACGAATTCGTATGCATCATTACATGAACCTAGAGTTTTCCCGACCAAACAAAAATTAGTCGGTGAAAATACTCTTTTGCCGACTACTAAAAATTCTTAGTTGGCCATATCTTTAGACCAGGCTTTTACCGACCCGATTGAAATAGTCATTGAAAATAGACTTTGCCGACCAGTTTTTCCTAACCAACCAAATCTTAGCCACTATAAATAATATTTACTGGCCAAAAGACTTGTCAGTTGGCATAGACAAGATATATTTGCCGACTAGATAAAAAATGGTAAGTGAAATCCTAATTTTGGGCCAAACTTTTGGTGGGGATTATTGCACCAAAACATTTAT